CGTCCAACCCGTATGATCAAGGTTTCACGCCGTGTGGGCGCATGCCAGAAGGCACAGTATACTGCCCGGCCACCACCATTAGACAACACGATGGTTCATGTTTGTTTATTTCATGCACGCACACAAACACACACACACACGCACACACACACATACACATAATCATTATTAATTTTCATAAGTACAATATAACTCAATGCCCTGATGATGCCCAATGGGCGAAATATTGGCAAAGTTATTTATTTGGTGCAGCTGAGAGCCTGTTGCCGAAATGGCGGTGTTTTCAAGTGCAAGAAATACGCTGCAATGGAGTTTGGGAATTCTGAAGAAAAGTACAATATAAGTACAATATAATATTATTATGTACATGTACATGCAAGTACGATCATGTACACTTGTACATGTAGCTGCTGTCACGCTTATCTTCTATACAATTTCCATCCGTGCTAACGGCTACTGCATTGACATCCCTTTGTCGTACTGCTAATACCGGTAATACTGTCAGAAGGTTGTCCATCCAGAAACCTGACAGTCCTGAACGTTTTGCGGTAAGGCACGCCCTGGGCATGAAATCCCCTCCCCTCAAGGGGAAATCCCGACTGCAATAGAGCCATACTCACCTGTATTTATGGCAAGTACATGTTATGGATTTTGGCTCCCCTTTCCCTATAGTATTCGACGTGCAGAGACACGTTCTTTTCTTTCCTTTTTTCTCTTTTTATTTCCCTTTAACTTTTCTCTCGACCCGTGGTTGGTTTCACACTCACTTCCTTGTATTGGCTATTTCCATCATGTTCCATGAAGTGCAGACAGTAAAATTTAATAAATAAAATACAACTACAGTCTAGAGTATAATGTGACAAGACCTGCCGGTCGGTGTGTCCTCAATGAAACCTTGTTTTATCCCACATGCTATCCAACGTCAATACTAATGGCACGTTCTACTCTAAAAGCTCGCATTATCTATAGTAAATAGAAAGGACCAAGGAACTAAAAATTACCCTTTTAATCATAATGCAACAACTGAGCTACGACTCAAATAATTGTATTCTTGTGGTATTCATTAGGAATCAATCACCTCTCCTTTGAGTGAGGCTTTGACTTAAAAAAATCTCAGATGTTGAGTTTTTTGCACTCCATACATAATTTTATTTATTGGTTTGGTGAGACTCCCATGATAGGTACTCCACTTTTATGTTTATGTATCTACATGTATGTCATTCGGATCTTCCCAAGTTGTACAATGTACTGTTGAGATACCGAATTCAAATAAATCAATACCATACCATACCATACCATAGGTATCCATTTATCTCTGGAGAATCCGTAAATACACAAAACTGAAAACTGAACTGAAAACCACAATGGGATCCCCATTGCGGTGATTGAACTAGAGTAGGCCTCGACCAAATATGCTTGTGCATATTTCCGCATATTTTGTGAGACAGTTCATATATGGCATATTGAGCGACAAAGGGAATATTGGAATGAAGCCAGCATATAATTCAAATATGCTGAAGAAAATGAGGACAAAACATTCATATTATGGACAAAATGCGTTCAGAAATGCCTTTTATGGATGAATTTGGGATGGTTGAGGCGTTTGCTACATTTCCCCATGGATGAACACTATCGCTACGGTTGCTGGGGACACACCCCAGCCCATACCATTCAGCATGTGTTTTGATTTGCACCATAAGCATGATAGCCGTGAAGCCAATGAATATTCCAAGGTTGTAATTTTACTGAAATGATCTACACTTTCTGCTTATGTCGAGCATATTTTGGCATATTTTGGCATATCTTTTTGCATATCTTGCTAAGCCTTTGGCATATTATGGCCGTTTTCCCTGATATGCGACGAGCATAATATGCTCTTTTTTTAGCATATTTGGTCGAGGCCTAAACTAGAGTCATGATTATATCGTCGCTTACTCGTACTATTTCTCTCTGGCTGGACGATATACATGGAATTCTGATTCTAGTCCAACTTCACCCCATTGGGGTGATTGGTGCCTGATAAATGCCACAGCAACACGTTCAAATGTGTTGTTCCAATGTGATGAGCGCGTTTACATTCTTCATTTTAATAATAAATATAATAATAGTAGAACTGTAATTGTACCGTAAGCTCACGAGTTGCTCTTGCTGCTGCTGCTCTTCCATTTTTCCAGAAGAAAGATGATGCTAATAAATGGCGTGGAGACAATAATTTGGATAAAGCTGTGAACAGTATTAGATGGGCACTCATGACTGTATTCACACATGCAAGCGAGGTAGGTTTACAAGAACGTTGTCTTGTGATATTCTTCAGTTGGAATACATCACTAACGTAAATTTACCTCCACCAAACCAATACAATCACAATCAGAAAATAAATCAGAGAAGAAGAAGAACAGAATATATCCAGAGAAAGTCAACAATAATTGTCCGTTACAAAAATACGAATTTTATAGTCACGAGTGCGGATCTGATACTGTTCATAGGTTTATCAACAGATGTTCAAAGCCGTATAGAAAGCTCTAACGATGCCATGGACGCAATGATTCATAAAAACGTGCTCAAGATCCGTACGAATATGCACAGTAGCGTGCCCTACAACCCAGAAGAAGATATGAATCCATGCCATACATGGGTTTTCCACGCGTGGACCTGCTACACATAGTAAGCAATGAACAAAATGGGTGAACTCGGTGATGCCTTTTAGCCGATGGTTCATGTCCTGCTCACCCTCAGGCCGTTGGTGGAGAGAGGCAGCGGAACATAGATCAACCTGGGTAACACATGTATGTCGGGAAACAGGCAGAGCAGAATAGAAAGCAGACATGCGCCACGCCAGTTAAGCCCAAAAATGCCATCAGAGATTAATGCATATAGAAAATGGGCAGAGTTTAGTACTTGTTCTGGTATGTTTCATGCATGTAAGGTACTTCAAGTATGTGGATAAAGAAATGGGGAAGAATTTAGGGCGCGCTCACAATGCGACCATGCGTCCATGCGTCAGATTATCGCAGAAACGTGGCAGTCGTGCTCACACTACGCCTCGTACACGTCTAGACGTGACGTTGTTGACACCATTATCGCCGTGCTGATCGCTATAATAATATTATTAGTATAGGCACGGGTGTCTTTCGCGCTGCTATTGTGTGTCAGGGGTGCTCGTTGGCCCGTCACCGTCCAGTTCACATGCTTCGTGAGTTGGCGATTGTGGAGGGCCGGGTTCCCCTGCCGTGATTAGTGCTGCACCAAGCTTGTTTTGTGTGAAAACAGATATTCTTAACTTAGAAGTTGCGACTTCGGCGGTAATATATTCTTAGTAGTAGTAGATATTATGTGAATCGTACCACCCCAGTTCAGAGACGACCTCAACTAATACTTCAACAGCAAGCCGTGTTATGTGATTTGGACGCTCTCCCAGTGACTGGGACCTACGTCCCTTGCCAGCGTCTGTAGCCCTCATATCCTCTACGAGACACCCGATACTAAGAGCAGAGTACTACTACTTACCGTCGCCATAATCAGCAGTAGGAACACCAATCGACATCTTGGGAACAGCGACGTCAACTCATTCATACGACCCATGACGCAGGACTTATTAAAAAATCCCGCATACGAGCTGCTACCTACTACTACTACTTTCTCTCTCTCTCTCTCTCTCGGTTATCACGTAGGTCTGTGTCGCAACCACCAGTGATGATCGATACTCAATCACTGGGATTACCAAAATCTTCGAAGAACCGTGTGTCCTTGCTGGGTGTCCTTGCTGGGTGTCCTTGCTGGGTTAGCTGCTATCAAATGCTGGCTGTCGACTAGCTGCGTTGCTCCTGTACAATGTCAAGGGACGTTGTCTATCTTCTTCTATCTCTCCTCGTCACGCTTCTCCTTAGCCTCATTAGACTTTGTTCTCAGATCCTGTTTGGTTACTCACACTGATCAAAGAGGCTCTCAACTTGTTTTGATATATGCAGATTCCCCAATGGAGTTGTCTAAAAGTTAAATTCTTCATTTACACTGTCGGCCAGTTTCGCGGACTAGCAGTAACTGTTTCATATCTTGAGAGAACCGCCCCAGACTTCACAAGCACCATCTGGGTGTATTTGACACCACCGTGACAGGGATGACATCATTCGCCACGTTGCAGAATGCACGCTTCGAAACTCTTTCCGTTCCAAGGGAAAACCTGTTACAGCTGATGGATACTGTGGATGTGCCCCTAAATACTGTCTAGTCATGTACATGTATTACAATGACAGCATCACAAGGGATAAAGGATCAAGCAAGACCCTGCTTATGCCATAATGATACTGGCACATGTTCATGTACATGTACTTGAATACGTATATGCATTCGTCTTTCTCCTGTCATTATCTTCCAACCCGTATGATCAGGGTTTCACGCCGTGGGCCCATACCAAAAGGCACAGTATACTGTAATGCTCAGCGATCAACATTAGACAACGGGACTGTTCATGTTTGTTCATGGCATGCATACACACACGCAAGCAAACACAAAAACACACGCACACACGCACGAAAACACAAACACGCATACACACACACACGCACACGCACACACACACACACACACATTCCAAAACACATAATCATCGGCTGTCACACTAATCTTGTAAACAATGCTATTCGCGCTAACGGCCACTGCATTGACATCCCTGCGTCGTACTACAGTGGTCCCGCTATAATCCGGCACCATTTGTGCCACGAAAATCTGCTGGATTAGGGAGGGTGCTGGATTAACAAATCTGATTTACTGCTGCAATGTACATGAAGAGGACATTTTGGCTACTGAAAATTGTGCTGGTTTATCGAGGGTGCTGGATTATAAAGTGCCGGATTAGAGAGGGACGACTGTACTAACAACTGTACTCTCAGCAGATTGTCCATCCTGAAGCCTCACTATCCTGAGGTTATCTGTATGGTTATGCATGTCGCGGGCATGAAATCCCCTCCCCTCAAGGGGAAATCCCGACAGCAATGGAGCAATACAGTAACAAGCCTCTTGTACGTGTACGGGCAAAAATACCATCATGATCAACAAAGAGAAATGCAAGTAAAACCCAAAACAATTTTAAATGAAAAATAATTCAAGGCAAATGGAAAGAACTCAAAGCTAAGAACAAGAACCCAACCAGTCGCACACGGCTGCAATAGTGTCTAGGGTCTTATGTTACAAGACCTGCTAGTCCGTGTGTCCTTGAAACAGTGCTTTAGAGCATTATGCTTTTCAACGACAATCGACAACCAACCGAAACAGATTCGTCTTGACGGTAACCGTTTTCTCCAGAATCCATCAATGTCTACTTCTGGTAGACCATAGAGAATAAACGAAGCAGGTCGTTGTAAGAATTGCTGGTAGAGATGGAAGTCGGTGGGAAAGCGCGAGCTCCAGTGTGGGGAGCCAACGCTTCCCCAGCTCAAGGCAGCAGAAAATAATGCTGCTAGAGATGTGAAAAGCAGTTGCAAGGCGGGAGGCAGCAAAAGGGTGCGAAAACAGCACGTGACCAAGCAAACACATACAGCACGCTAGTATAGGTTCACACAGTGACAATACGAAGAGGAGCAAGGTGTGACGTGAACAAATACTTCGAAGTGTAAGTTCTGCTTCTGCCTTCGGAGGTTGAGCAGCTGCGTGTTATTATGCAGATATCAGCACCTTCACTAACTTTGAAATGGCGATCCGAGCGGCTACGTGGCACAATAGAAAAACTAATCCATTGATACACATTTGTCAATAAATGCCGAATGTGTTGATGTTGATTGTGATGGTTGTTTTCCTAGTGTCTCCAACTAGACTGTTCTAAGTACCAAAGAGATTCCGATACCCGAATAGAGAGTTCTGATAATGGCATGGCTGCAATGTTCATCAAAGACATTGCCAACATCTGTACGATTAAGTATAGAGGTGTGCCCTGCAATCCAGAAGACTACATGGGAGAATACTATGCATATCTTTTCACCACCCGAGCGCGAGCCGGGGATAGCTGCGGCGCCGGCAGCAAACAAGCAATGAACAAAGTGGGTGGCATAGGTGATGACTTTTAGCAAATCGTTCGTGTCCTGCTCATCCTTAGACCGTTGGTGGAAAGGGGCAGCGGAACATAGATCGACCTGGGGGAGACGTGGGGAACAGGCACAGCAGAACACCATGTAGGCAAACGCTATGTTAGTAAGCCCACGAATGCTTTCGGAGATGAAATAACCCGTGGCCAGTAATGCCGGTAGAAAAATCGACAGAATTTGGTACCTGACTGTTTGTATTGCGTCGGTGCTGACACCTTTCTTTCGAAATTGGATACGCCTCCAATTTTTCCTTACAATTTGGTACCTTTTCTGGTTTGTTCCATGCACGTTTGGTATGTGGATAATGAAATGGAGCAGAATTCAAGGAGGTGCCTGCCATAAGGTTTGTATGGTTCCGGCAATTTCACTGCTTTTCAAGTAGAATCTGCCAATTATTTTAGCATTATCCGCCAAGGACAAAGATGAAATCAACATTTCATTGCGTATAAACCACAGTTTACATGCATATTGGACTTACGAGACACGCTATCATCATCAAGATCATCAGTGGAACTTTCAGCTGTGACCAGTACGTTCCATTCATTCGGCGCAGGATACTACATCGTGCGAATTCCATCATCTCGCTTCCAGTACGCTGCTGCCCAGACCACACTGCCTCCAGACAGGATGGCTGCGGAATGAAGGCTGCCGTGTAGGATATCAAGCGGGGCGCTGAGATCGCCAACGGCCGAGGCGTTCGAACGATGTTCTTTCGCAGAAGCTGGCCCCAATCTTGTCGCTTTGAAGCTCGACACAGCAATCCTGTAAGGACAGTCTGCTGTCCGTGTCTGCTGTCCGCCTCTCTACGTTTGTAATGCTCCGATCTAACTGTCAAAAGCAAGCGTTCTCCCACGGACCCTAGCCTACCCGATCTAACTGGCGAAGGCGAACGTTCTCCCTACAAGTGTACATGATCTAACGGTGAGAACTGCCTAAAAGCTGTACTCACTCCGTCCTTTATCTGACGACCTGCTCCGGTCAGCAACAGCGGTCGGTTTAGATCTCCAAACTACATGTGCAGATCCCGACGCTGGCAGATCTAGACCTTCACGACATAATATTAATAATAATAATAATTATTATTATTATTAATTATAGCGACGATGCACTGTGACAAAGATTGCATCATTGCAACGCCTTGTAACGCAAGGGGATCAGAAACACGTTTTATTCCGAGCGAAACAGTATGAGGGACAGAAAGCAGAACGTTAGCGATCGTTCGGCAGCACTGTGTTTACAATAGGCGAGTTTTCATTCTCACTTCTCTGCGTGACAGGGCCCTGTGCATGATGTTGCTTGGTGTTGCTTGGTGGTCAAGAAAACATCAGTGACTGGTGACAGGGTGCATGGTGGCCGTGGGCCCACCGTACATTATAGGTTAGCACGTTGACAGTACATTTTAGATGACTGGACCACACGTACTGACAGGACCGGTACTATAGTATAGGGCTGGATCAGGTCCCGCGCACGAAATCCCCTTTTCTTATGCACGAGTATGCATGCGGTGCGACGGGATAGTCCCGGGTGAAGTGACACAGGCCGTTCGAAACTGACGAACGTGACAATAGAGAGGTCTTGCATTCCGAAATTCGGCAAAAGATTCTGAAGGCAAGAGCGAGGTCGAAAATCAACTCAAAGATTTGTACTAGAAAGTCTATTCTGTCCATTGATCATTCTCATGCTCCGCGGATGCAGACGCAGATTAGTTCTCAACATAATAATTTCAAAGGACATGTACGTACAATTTAGTTATTGTTCATGCAATCACGTATAGCTAGCACATCACCAACGCATGACAGATTGCTGGTGTGTACTCATACAATGTAGCACATACATGTACATGTACGTTTGTAGCGCAGCATAACACCCATAGCACGCAAACATAACTCAGAATTCTTGACACAATCCGCAACCTGCCCTCACACAAATTTGCATAAGCCTCTTATACAGGCCATCACACAACATGATAACACTGGCCTGACACAACACTACACGAAAAAGCAAAACAACAAGAAACAAAACTTTTTAAAGGAAAAAGAAAATGAAACTTGCCCTCACACCAATGGCAATGCATGTACCAGCATACCCTACCAGCCATTATCATGTTGTCCGATGGTTACACGTCTGTGCGTGAAACTCTGATTAGTCACAAGCACTGAGCCTTTCTGACCACGGTTTGACGGTAAGTTGCAGCATTATGTTAACTGCTAGCACTGGTATGGGTCAGTGTCGTGCCCTCACACTGCTAGCACTGGTATGGGTCAGTGTCGTGCCCTCACACTGAGCAAGTAAGTAAGTAAGTATGTATGTAAGGTGCTAACACCCAAAAAGGTGTAAATTTGGAGGTGCGTATATTGACGCGACTGCTCTCCTCAACTCGCTACTAAACGCCTAAACAGCTAGGGGTGCAGTTCATTCTGCAGTGTTGGTTCATTTGGATACTAGCCAGCAAGCAAATTGATCCGTGTGTTTGCTCAGCAAAGTAATTATTCTACTGTCATGCACACAATGACCGTAGTGTAGATACATGTAGGGCAGAATCAGCACAAGTACAAGCAAAGTCGGCAGTGATACCCTGGTACTGTAGTGATGCTGAGCATGCTGATGATGATGCCTGCCAATACTGATGATGATATTGACATAGTTGCTGATGCTAAAGCAGCAAGTGATGCCTGATGTGAATGGCTGTTATGGGATGAATTTCATTGATCAGTGGAACAGTGGAAGAGAATCCCGCTTCAAATCTTCCCCAGTAAGTTCCACTGCATTGTATAGATTTGTTGAGCAGAAAGATGCATGTGAGCGTGTTCCTTCCTAAGTTCATGCATATCAATAGGCCTTGGCAGACACTGCTTACGTTTTGATTGTACGAACGGATAAGGGTTAAAATATTGCCAAATTCTGGTCGAAAAGCATAGAGGCAAAACCATGCAAAGAGTATGGCGCACCATTCCTCGAATCCTGCTCCACTTCTTTACCCATTCACCATAAATTCATGGACACATGTCACAAACGTTGATTTTGCCACGGTGTTCTGCCAGCATTATCCCCCTGGGGCTAATACATACCTGTACACTATAGGGGTGTGAGAATAGGTGCTGCAGGTGAGGCCACAGCCGCACCAAGTATTGGATTGTAAGTGTTGAAATAATAAAATAGGGCTATTTGGGCCCTAAATACACGGTCTAACCGTACCTATTTACTTTGCATTGCACTCCTTCGCTCTCTTTGTCGCTATCTTTCTCTCTACCTCTCTCTACCCCCCCCCCCCCCTCCCCCTCTCTGTCTCTCTCTCGCTCTCTCTGTCTCTCTCTCTCTGTCTCTCTCTCTCTGTCTCCCTCTCTCTGTATTTCTGTCTCACTCTGTCTGTCTCTGACCGTCTATGTCTCTCTGTCTGTCTCTCTCTCTCTCTCTCTCTCTCTCTCTCTCTCTCTCAATCACTCTCTCTGTCTCTCTCTCTCTCTCTCTCTCTCTCTCTCAATCTCACATACATAGACACGCACACATATACTTGTACATGCTCACTGCAAACATCGATCGCGTGGGTCTCCCGGGAGAGGGGAGAGAGATTCAAAAGAAATCTTTGAAAGATGAATCAATTGGGTATTGAACCGCCCAACGGCTTACGCCGCCTGAAATCCCCAAACTCTGGGTGGACTTGGAAATGATCCCACTTATGGTCTCACCACACCTCAGTAAGTGGGTGAGAACAAGATGTAGAAAAATGGTTTGACGCAATCAGGGTATCATGAGGGCAATATTTATATCAATAAGTTTTTCTCCGGTGTGGGGAGCAAACCCTTTCTTACAAATCATCGCCGAAGTCGCAACCACTACTTCGTAATAAGTTTTTGTTTGTACAATAGCCAAATAAAATTGAGTTGCACATCACGTGTGTGAAAAGGTCCCTAGTTACAAATTGCAATAAACATTAATACGACCGAATAGGCAGCTCTAATTTTGCCATGACGCCAATGCTCCTCAAAGACTTGCTCAATATCAGTACTATGATGTACAGTGGTGTGCCCTACAACCCAGAAACATATATGAGCAAATACTACACGACACTTGTCATCACCCGAGCCGGGTCGAGCTTGTGCGCTAGCAATAGCAAACAGGAAATGGATGATGTGGGTGGCATATGTGAGGCCTTTTAGCAATTTGTTCCTGAAGTGGTGATCCTCAGCTCGTTCGTGGTAAGGGGCAGCGGAGCATACATCCACCTGAGTAGGATGTGAGGAAACAGGCAAAGCATAATAAAGTGCAGACATACATAACCGTGAAACTCAGAGTTACAGAAGAAACGCTTTTCATCCCTCTCAAATGTGTATACGTTATGTTAGTATGGTAAGGGTAAGGCCAAAAAAAAGCTACTCAGTATCCGAGATGGAATCCAAGTACAGTACAAGCTCGTATCTCATCAGCAATTGCGTGGCAGACTGTAGTTGCGCGCTAAATTGGCAGCATTAGCCAACACGTCTCAGCATAGCGCTGATACAGGCAAGTGTAATGTGTGTGCGTGGTAGCCCATCCATGTTATCTGACCATGCCCCTGTCGCATTGTCTGCAGCCGTAGTCGCTGCGGAGGCATGATCTATTGTGGCTTACTGAATGACGTATATGTACATGTACGTGTAATTGCAGGTTGTTGATTACACCATGCCATAGTGTACTGGTTTTTCTTTTGTTCCTCCTGGACTTTTTGAAGTTTTTCAGCAGCTGGCTTTACTGATTTGTTAGTTAATTTTGTTCGAAGAAAAGGCCCCTGTCCAAACTTTTAAATGATCAGCCAACACGCCGTGTACATGTACGTAATCCCATTGCGTACGCACTACACTTTGCAAAGCTCACATGCTTTTTGGACTTACAAGACAAGCTATCATCATCAAGATTGCTAGTTGAACTTTCAGCTGTGACCAGTACGTTCCATTCATTCGGCCCAGGATACTGCGTAACATGGTTTCCATCATTCCGCTTTCTGTGCACTCGAACAGGATGGCTGCGGAATGAATGGTGCCGTCTAGGATATCAAAACGGGACGATGAGATCGCCAAGGGGTTGGAACGATTTCCTTTCTCAGAAGCTGACTTCTCTGCCTGGTCACTTTGACGCTCTATGTCGAATTGTGAGGAGAGTCTGCTGTCGGTGTCGGCTCTCCACTCTCTAAGTTCGAAATGCTCCGATCTGACTGGCGAAGGCGAACGTTCTCCCCAGCTAGCGCACAAGATCTGACCGTGAGGACTGCCTTCAAGCTGTGCTCACTCTAATCCCTAATCTGACGATCTCCTCCGACTTCATCAGCATTAGTCGATTCAGATCTGCACACCCCAACACTATCACACCTGTATCCATACTGCATGATAGTTATAGCAATGGGGCGCTGTGGGGTGACAAAGATTGCATCATTGCCACGCGCTTGTCACTCGTGTGATCAGAAACAGTTTTTTGTTCCGAGCGAAACCGTGCGAGGGACGCGGGACAGAATGTTAGTAGTACTATATCGTGCTATCGACCAGGTACATGTAGTCGTATAAAGGGTTTCTACGACTACCTGCCCCTGGTGCTTACACTAGGTTACAGTATGGGTTGTATTCATTCGGCCATGGTTTCCATCATCCCGGTTTTAGCACACAACCCCCGAACAGGATGGCTGCAGAATGAATGGTGCCGTCTACGATATCAAGCGAGGCGCTGAGATCGCCAAGGCGTTGGAACGATGTCGTTTCTCAGAAGCTGGCTTCTCTATCTGGTCGCTTTGAAGCTCGATGCAGCAATGCTGTGAGGATAATCAGACATTCTGCTGTTGGTGTCTGTGTCCACTCTCTAAGTTTGTTATACTCCGATCTGACTGACGAATGTGAACGTTCTCCCTAGCTAGCGCACGGGATCTGACCGTGAGGACTGCCTTCAAGCTGAACTCACTCTATCCCTAATCTGCATGGTAGTCGGCTCCGAATTCATCTGCAGTTGTTGGTTTAGATCTACAATGTACGCATTCCGACACTAGCAGATCTGACTGCATCTTCACGACATACTAAATTATAGCGACGACGCACGTGACAAAGATTACATCATTGCCACGCCTTGTAACCCATGGGGTCAGAGACACGTTTTGTTCCGAGCGAAACAGTTTGAGTTTGAGGGACAGAAAGTTAGATAGGATTGTTGGCACGCACCGTGCCTACAGTATGGATGAGGTCATGGCATTGTACGGACGTTATTATGGTATTGCTTGGTGGTCAAGGGACACGTGACATAGCTGACAGGAATTTTAGGTTACTGTACCACCCGTACATACAATACCTTTAGAGCTGGTGCAGGTCATGTGCGCGAAATCCCCTTTCTTACGCACGAGTATGCATACGGCGTGGTGGGATAGCCCCGGCTGAAGTGACACAGGACGCTCGAAACTGACGAAATTGACAATTATACAGGTGCATGTGCACGTAAGTCATTTGTTTAGCAGTAAAGTATGCACTGTGACTTCAAGGTGTAAACGAAAATAGAGTGGAACAAAAATACATCTCAACTCAGAGTTTAATGGTTGAAAGCAATCATCAATATCTATTCTGCTCCACTGGATCATCGTTTGTACTGAAGCTTAGCACGTCGTGTATAGAGCACTCTGACCAGTAGTCAAGGTTCTTTTGTGCACTTCAAAGTCTATTCTTTCCATTAATCATGCTCAGGCACAGTGACTAGTGGATGCAGACGCAGACTTGTTTTCTACATATTCCAAAATGTGTTTCTCCTCAATCCTGATGATGGCTCCTGGCCAAATATGTGATTTAGGCTGCGTTTACACGACAACGATTGAAAACGATTTGCGTTTACACGACAACGAAGTAGGACCTAAACGGAACGAAATCGTTGCGTTTACTACTATCGTTTACACGACAACGCCCGAAAACGATACCTAAACGGAACGAAATGGAAACGCACTTCAAAGTGTTTTGAAACGTTTTCAAAACGTTTTCAAAACGTTTTCGTTCTTGTGTAAACGGTGAAAACAGTGAAAACGATTGGAAACGGAGCGCGGTCATGGAAACCATTCCGCGCGGGACTATATTTCGCGGGAAATACCTGACCTTTGCGACCACCAGCGCGTACTAACTCCAACTAACGTGTTACTTCCCGCCCTTGCGCCAAGCCAGCACGTAATAACTCCAGCCTGCTCGCCCGTTTTCCGTTTTCGTGTGAACGGTTCAAAACGATTTGCCGCTCTCGTGTAAACGGTTTGAAAACGATTCGAGGCCAGCCCGTTTTCGTTCCGTTTCGTTCCGTTTCGTTTCGTTTCGTCTCCGTGTAAACGCAGCCTGAGATAGATATTGTAAATTGCAGCGAAGAGACGACTTGATTTGAGAATGGTGTGTGTAGGGTTTTTCATATTCCAAAAGACACTCAATGCATGCACAGCAGGGAGGTGATAGAAATAACCCAAGGAAGAGGAGCTAAAAACTAAGACAGTAGCGAAAACTCCGCGACCCATATACACTGTACATACACAAAGGTCAAAAAGAATGGTTTCACCAATTATAGAAACATACGTTGTAACGCTGCGTTTCATGCACGTAGCTAAATGCTAAGGCAATCATCGGACAACTAATGCTTTTGTCGCGGGATAGCTTGTTCTTATTGTGGGGGATACGCATGGGCATGTAGAGGAGGTGTGAGTTATCAATGCAGGGCATGCATGGAAGAGCGAGTGATAATTACATCACTGGATGGGCATGCGCGAAGGCGCAAACTATGCATGGAGCATGCAGAGGCGGAGAAACCACCAGGCAGGACAAGGGTAAGCCATGGGGGCACTGGGCAGGGGGTGTGATGTGTGGCGGTGGAAGCACACTGTGGTGTCCACATTCAACAGCCGCGGGTATCATCGTTCATACACTGTAAATGTGGAAAAGGTGCAAGTGAGAGGAGATCTAAGAAGCGTGATGTGTGGTGCGACAAAAGTAGTTAACAGACAACGACATGTGTACATGTAACTAACGGGCTGTTGCCGACCTACGGAACAGCCTAAGTGTGCATCCAATCTGCTTTTGTTGTCTTAACGGTTAGATTTCTTGGTGTAACCTAGTAAGAAAGGATTTGCTCCCCACACTGGAGCTCGCGCTATTCCGCCGACTTTACTTTATGTATAAACCTAGTAATACCTGAATACTACCTCTGAGAAATGTGAGTCGTCCATTATTGCTTGCCATTTGTCGGAGCATCGTGAATGTCGCGCGGTGTACTCAGATGATTGCTTTTTTCTCTATGCACGCAGTGCAAAGTTGTTGAATGTTTTCAATAGAAGCCTCACCACTGCTACTAAGTTTTCAATAGAAGATGTTTATGTTCACACCACGAAATCTAAATTATGTAAAGCAGATTAAAAAATGATTCACACTTTTAATTAAAAAAATCTGTTAGGTAGGTCGTCAACAACTCGTTACTTACATGTATGTCCATTTGTTGTCTGCTTTTTTGTCGCACCACACTTCACGCTTCTCAGATCTGCTCACACTCGCACCTTTTCCCCATGACTTTCTATGCGTATGGGTCACGCATTTGTCATTGTTCATTACACCATCAATTATACATGTGGCACATCCCCACCACGTGACAGATTGCTGGTGTGTGGTCATACCATAGCACATACATGATACATGTAGTACAACCATAGCACTCTGACATGACTCACAGTTCTTGCCACAATCCGCACTCACTCCGCGCACAAATACCCGCATAAGTACCCACCGTTATCATGTTGCCTGGTGATTGCACGGTTGTCACGCATGAAACACTTTGAATTATAACCACAGAGCCTTTCTGTCCCGCACTATTTGCCTCTACATCACAGCACCAATCATTATGTTACACCTAGCACCAAGGGTATTCTCTTGCTAGCACTGCGTCCAGCTCACACCCAACAGGTGTAAAGTATAATGAGGTGTGTATATTGACGCGACTGCTCTCCTACACTCGATACTAAACGCCTAAACAGCGAGGGGTGCAGTTCATTCTCCAGTTTCCGTGCATTGGCTACTAGCCAGTAAGCAAATCGATCCGTGCGTTTGCTCAGCATAATAAGAATATTACCGTCATGTGCACAATGACTGTAGTGTAGATGTCTGCACACGTATAAGCAAAGTTAGCAATGGTACTTCAAAATAAGCACGTGTAACCTGGCTGTTGAGACATGCTGGTCATGCGGAAGATGCCCCGTGCTGCTGATAGTGGTGTAGATGTTGATGATATTGACACTGTCGCGATGTGGATGGTGATGCTGATGCTGATGATGAAGCTGATGGTGATTGCTGTTATGGAGTAGAATTCATTGATCAGCGGAACACTACTTGAAGAGGAGCTCACTTCACGTCTTAAAACCCAGTAAGGTCAACGGCATTGCATAGCGTTGCTGTTCAGATACATGTACATGTAGGTGTATGTGACTCACGCGGCAACTAACTCCTACATGTATGCTTATGTTCGTTTATGCGTACTTGGGCGGGCATACTTGGATGCTCCAATAGACACTTTTCTTTTTTTTCTTTCTTTTTAGAATGATCACAGCTCACAGGCAACGACAAAATATTTGAATACGGGAGCATAGTGATGGTGAGGCGTTCTTCCCTCAGCGGACCTGTATTGGTCAAGTCTGGCCGTAGCAGGGGCAGACTTGTGAGGACTGCTTTCAAGCTGTACTCACTCTATACTATCTCTAATCTGCATGACAGTCGGCTCCGAAATCCTCTGCAGTGGTCGGTCAATATCATAAATTTTATAGCGACGACGCACTGTGACAAAGATTGCATCATTGCCACGCCTTGTAACGCATGGAATCAGGGACACGTTTTGTTCTGAGCGAAACCGTTTGAGAGACAGAAAGTTAGACACTGAAGGATCTTTGGCATATACTGTGCCTACAGTACGGGTGAGTTTTCATTCTGACTGCTTTGCATGACATGGCCGTGTAGAGAGTCTGTGCATGGTGTGGCTTGGTGGTGAAGGACGACACACGTGACAGGATACTAGTATTAGATAATATTACTAAAGCCTCGTTTTGTTGAAAGCATGTTGTAGGTTGACAGCATGTTACAAGGCGGAGGACGCACTGTGTTCGGAAACACTGCCCCTACTACAACCATCCACCGTTGGAAGGAGCCCCGGTCTTGCGACCATTTGAACCGTAGATATGTACATGTACATGCAGGTGTTAGAACTGGTTGTGTCGCAGAGACAATGCTATTATCAGAGCAATGAAGAGCATGCCAAGTATTCCAGGTTTGCATTTCCTTTGAGTTCTCTCGTAACTTGAGACGAAGATTCACATACATGTGTGAAGAGCATCAAAGGGTTTTTCTGCAAAATGTTGAATCGCAGGTCGTGGGAGCTCCGTCGCAGGTCGCATGGCGGGAAATTGAGCCCAGTTCAACTTCTGCGACGAGCGATGCGCATCCCTTTCCACAAGGCAGACCCACGTGACAGCTAGCGTACGTATTGGGCTATGTAGGATTTCGCTGTGATGTGCCGTGTATTGTGCATCGAAGACTCTTCGCGCTTATATTCGAAAAAGACTTTCGCTCGACGCCCATCACATCGCAGAGGTGATATTGTGCATCGTGCTTTACACTGTTATTTATTCGACGGAACACATTAGTAGACATGTTGATGGACTTGCTGGGATGCATCATAAAAGAAACATTCCATTGACAGAATAATTTATCAGGCGTGAACCTGGTATTTGTAGCAACATAAAAGCAAGCTAAATCCTACAAGTACAAGTACATGTATGTACTTGCCTGTACAAGCAATCATTTAAAAATGCGTTTGTTTGTACATGCACACTACTTACACATCGGATATGGCTGCAACAATAATGCTCACAAACGTATAGCCAGCTCTAATAGAGACATGACAATAATGTTCCTCAAAGACTTGCTCAATATCAGTACGATTATGTATAGTGGTGTGGCCTACAATCCAGAAGATTATATGAGTCAATGCGAAACACCACTTGTCACCATCTGAGCGCCAGTCACGTTTCTTTGCGGCGAACGCAGTAAACAAGCAATGAATGAAGTGGGTTGCAAAGGTGGTTCCTTTTAGGAAGTTGTTCCAGGAGAGGTGCTCCTCAGGCCGTTCGTGGTGAGGGGCAGCGGAACATAGATCAACCTGAGTAAGATAAGAGGAAACAGGCAAAGCAGAAAAACATGCAGGCAAACATCATGTGAGCACCGTATGTGTAAGGCCGAAAAACGCTATCCGAGATGAAATCCAAAGTACAAGCTCTTATCTGATCAACACAACATTTATGCAGCAGACTGGAGACTGGAGTTGCACGCTTAACTGCATGGCAGCATTAGCCAACACTTTCCACGTAGCGCTAATACGGGCAGGTGTAATGTGTGTGCGTGGTAGCCCATCCATGTTGTCTGGTCATGCCCGGCGCCCCTGTGGCGTTGCCTGCCGCTGTAGTCGCTGCGGAGGCATGACCTATTGTGGCTTACTAAAATTAATGATGCACATTTATTGAATGTTGTTGATTGCAACACAATGTGCCGGTTTTTCTTTTGTTTCTCCAGGACTTTTTGAAGTTTTTCGGAGCAGCTGGCTTTACTGCTTTTGTTGTTTACTTTTGCCCATAAAAAAGGCTAGTGTCTGGCCTTTTAAAATATCAGCCAACACTCTGTGTACCTGTACATGTACCCTAGTGTGGCGTACAAACCACACTTTACAAAGCTTGCATGCTTGTTGGACTTACAAGACACACGATCATCATCAAGATTGCGAGGTGAGCCTTCAGCTGTGACCAGTGCGTTCCATTCATTCGGCCCAGGATAATACTAGTGCTGCGTAGCATGGTTTCCATCATTCCGCTTTCAGCGCACTGCCCCCGGACAGGATGGCTGCGGAATGAATGGTGTCGTCTAGGATATGAAACGGGACGCTTAGATCCCCAAGGTGTTGGAACGATGTCGTTTCTCAGAAGCTGGCTTCTTTATCTGGTCGCTTTGAAGCTCGATGCAGCAATCCTGTGAGGATAATCTGCTGTTGGTGTCTGTGTCCACTCTCTCAGTTTGTTATACTCCGATCTGACTGACGAATGTGAACGTTCTCCCTAGCTAGCGCACGGGATCTGACCGTGAGGACTGCCTTCAAGCTGAACTCACTCTATCCCTAATCTACATGGCAGTCGGCTTCGAATTCATTAGTAGTCTGCTCAGATCTCCAATGCACGAATCCCGACGCTAGCAGATTTGGACCTTCACGACATAACAATAATATTATAGCGGCGACGCACTGTGACAAAGATTGCATCATTGCCACGCCTTGTAACCCATGGGATCAGAGACACGTTTTGTTCCGAGCGAAACAGTTTGAGGGACAGAACCGTTAGGTAGGATTGTTGGCACGTACCGTGCATACCGTATGGATGAGGTCATGGCATTGTACTGTACAATTATTATGGTGTTGCTTGCCTGGTGGTCAAGGGACACGTGACATAGCTGACAGGGATTTTAGGTTACTGTACCACCCGTACATACAATACCTTTAGAGCTGGTGCAGGTCCTGCGCACGAAATCCCCTTTCTTACGCACGAGTATGGTATGCGGCGTGGTGGGATAGTCCCGGCCAGGGAGTAGTACAATACCAGTTGTACTACTCCCTGGTCCCGGCCGGCTGAAGTGACACAGGACGCTCGAAACTGACAAAATTGACAATTATACATGTGCATGTGTAGTATCCCTGCCCGACCAATACGGAAGCAGTACGGAACTAATACGGAGCTTTGCCTGATGTATATTAATTTTAGTGTATCTCCGTATGTAAGCGTACGGCGTCTGCTGCATATAAGCGGCTGCGCATTTCTGTTTTGATGAAGAGATTACATAAGATTAGATTAGATTGGATAGCAATGAAAGCTAACTCGAAGAATAAGGATTCAGCCTCTAGGTGAGCACCGGAGAGAAAGTTATTTATTTTGCCGCTTCTTCTTTCACGAACGATTATATCTCAGGTGTGTACCTGAAAGTAGAATAAAAGTAATTATTGTTGATTTCACCGCGCCTACCACTCGGCTACCTATTACATTGGTGGCAGCGGTGTAGTTTTAAATAAAACAACGTGATTCGACTCCAGACCCCCATGGCTCAACCCGCTGCAGCTCCCTGCGACGAATCAAGATGAGGATCATGTTTCTTGCCGTCCTGGGCTTGGCCCTACTTATTAGCTTGCAGCACAGTCAGGGTGCTAGCGTGGATCACCCTTCCCTCCGCATGGCATCCACTGGAGACTCCGATGGCGATTCCAAGCGACCCGCTACCTATGTTAACTACTGGTGGTGATAGCGAAGCTGATGAGGACGACAACAGGCAGGCTGGTACCCAAGACAAGGAGGGTATTTCCCAAGACCAGCAGCGTTTGATTTTCGCCGGCACGCAGTCGGAAGCAGGAGCGCACTCTTCACTGGGTACTTCGCCTCCGTGGTGGGAAGCAGATTTTTCGTCAACACTCTTCCTGGCTAGACCATCACTCTTTACGTCGCGCAAAGCGATGTTCTCGACAATGTGAAGACCATGATTCAAGACGAGGAGGGAGGTTATTTGTCTGACGCCGAGCTAGCCGCTCTGAGTGACCGGCTCACCCAAGATGAGGATAAAACCTAGCTTGCCCTCCGCCGTAGCTCCAGCCGCCGCCGTGGTTACTAACGCTGATTCCAGGTATGGCATTTTCTTTCCTGTCTTCCTTCAGTCTCCCTGTTCTCTTCAGTCTTCCTTTATGCGAGTGTGTGAATCCAGTTTAGTTTGGTAGGCGTCTGATCATGGTGAGCCACGGCTTACCCAGCTAACGTGGGACAATGTGTGTGACAACGCCCCTTATAGATATAGTGTATTCAGTTCGGTTTTTGAACCGCGATGTTCCTGGCGGGTTGTGCCAGCGTAGTGCAGCAAGAGTGCTGTGGTTTCAGGTCCTATTTGGAGGACAGTTCTTTCCCTTTTGACCCCGTGAGATCGTGTGAACCTGGTGTGCTTTTACTTCTATTTTATGATTTGTTATCAGTTCATTTCTTCTGTCTACTCTAAACGTTATCATTTCCGATATAATTTGCCATCTTCCGGTTGACGCTGTGTTCGTAACTCTTCACTAATTTTTTGAAAATCACGAGGGCGTGATTATCTGTAGGAAGGGAGGGTGTAGTATCCCTGCCCGACCAATACGGAAGCAGTACGGAACTAATACGGAGCTTTGCCTGATGTATATTTAGTGTATCTCCGTATGTAAGCGTACGGCGTCTGCTGCATATAAGCGGCTGCGCATTTCTGTTTTGATGAAGAGATTACATAAGATTAGATTAGATTGGATAGCAATGAAAGCTAACTCGAAGAATAAGGATTCAGCCTCTAGGTGAGCACCGGAGAGAAAGTTATTTATTTTGCCGCTTCTTCTTTCACGAACGATTATATCTCAGGTGTGTACCTGAAAGTAGAATAAAAGTAATTATTGTTGATTTCACCGCGCCTACCACTCGGCTACCTATTACACATGTGCACGTAAGTCATTTGTTTAGGAGTAAAGTATGCACTGTGACTGCAAGGTCTAAACGAACATAGAGTGGAACAAAAATACATCTCAACTCAGAGTTTCATGGTTGAAAGCTATCATCAATAGAGAGGTTTTGCATTCCGAATTTCGGAATGATTTTCGACTGTGCTTTTCCGAAAAAAGCGCGCTCCGAAAAACGGTATTTTCAGTGTTTTGCATTCCGAAAATCTGATTCGACTTCGTTTCCAAGGGTTGCCATGCAAAACAAAATGGAGAGCGTCGAAGGGGTTGAGCAGGATCAAATCCATGTGCGCAGGTCAAACTGAATTTGGGTGCGGTTCGAAGACGAGGACGGACTGATGGTGGACCAAGTGATCCAACAGCTGAAGACGAGGTTGGCGAACTACTGTCTTGTACTGTTAGTAGGCTCCAGGGCAAAGGAAGATAGAGTGTGATGAAGTGTGAGAAGATTAGTCAACATGGCGAGATCAGCGAGAGCAGCAAAACCAGCAAAAATCAAAACTACATACGTGGAAATTTTTTCAAATAATCGAGAGCAGCAGAAAGCAAAAATACAAACATGAAAAATACACTTTTTTGTATTCAAATATGCACTCCCAAACATGAAAGAGCCGAAAATCTATTTTCGGAAAACCATGCACTTTCGCCACCACACTTCCGAAAGTTCGACTACTTTTTCGACTCCTGCCCCCACATTCCGAAAATAATTCCGAAATTCGGAATGCAAAACCTCTCTAGTATCTATTCTGCTCCACTGGATCATCGTTTGTACTGAAGCTCAGCACGTCGTGTATAGAGCACTCTGACCAGTAGTCAAGGTTCTTTTGTGCACTTCAAAGTCTATTCTGTCCATTAATCATGCTCAGGCACAGTGACTAGTGGATGCTCAGGCACAGTGAGTAGTGGATGCTCAGGCACAGTGAGTAGTGGATGCTCAGGCACAGTGAGTAGTGGATGCTCAGGCACAGTGAGTAGTGGATGCTCAGGCACAGTGACTAGTGGATGCTCAGGCACAGTGAGTAGTGGATGCTCAGGCACAGTGAGTAGTGGATGCTCAGGCACAGTGAGTAGTGGATGCTCAGGCACAGTGACTAGTGGATGCTCAGGCACAGTGAGTAGTGGATGCTCAGGCACAGTGAGTAGTGGATGCTCAGGCACAGTGAGTAGTGGATGCTCAGGCACAGTGAGTAGTGGATGCTCAGGCACAAAGAGTAGTGGATGCTCAGGCACAGTGAGTAGTGGATGCTCAGGCACAGTGAGTAGTGGATGCTCAGGCACAGTGAGTAGTGGATGCTCAGGCACAGTGAGTAGTGGATGCTCAGGCACAGTGAGTAGTGGATGCTCAGGCACAGTGAGTAGTGGATGCTCAGGCACAGTGAGTAGTGGATGCAGACGCAGACCTGGTTTCTACATATTCCAAAATGTGTTTCTCCTCAATCCTGATGATGGCTCCTGGCCAAATATGTGATTGCGATAGATATTGTAAATTGCAGCGAAGAGACGACTTGATTTGAGAATGGTGTGTGTAGGGTTTTTCATATTCCAAAAGACACCCAATGCATGTACAGCAGGGAGGTGATAGAAATAACCCAAGTAAAGGAAGAGGAGCTAAAAACTAAGACAGCATCTAAAACTCCGTGACCCATATACATCGTTCATACACTGTAAATGTGGAAAAGATGCAAGTGAGAGGAGATCTAAGTGAGAGGAGATCTAAGTGAGAGGAGATCTAAGAAGCGTGATGTGTGGTGCGACAAAAGTAGTTAACAGACAACGAATGGACCTACATGTACATGTACATGTAACTAACGGGTTGTTGCCGACCTACGGAACAGCCTAAGTGTGCATCCAATCTGCTTTTGTTGTCTTAACGGTTAGATTTCTTGGTGTAACCTAGTAATAGAGGGTTTGCTCCCCACACTGGAGCTCGCGCTATTCCGCCAACTTTACTTTATTTAAGCCTAGAAATACCTGAATACTACCTCTGAGAAATTTGAGTCGTCCATTATTGCTTGTCATTTGTCGGAGCATCGTGAAATGTCGCGCGGTGTAATTAGATGATTGTTTGATTCTATTTTGTCACGTGCACGCAGTGCGAAAGTTATTGAATGTTTTAGAAGCTGTGTATATTCACACCAAGAAACCTAAATTATGTCAAGTAGATTAGATCCACACTTTTAATTAAAAAAAGCTGTTAGGGAGGTCGTCAACAACTCGTTAGTTATGTCCATTCATATTTTGTTGTCTGCTTTTTTGTCGCACCACACTTCATGCTTCTTTGATCTACTCACACTTGTGACTTGTAGGCATAGGCGGGTAATGCTAGTTATTTGCTGCGATAATGCTCAAGGAAATGCTCATAATAATTATGAGGATATAATGCCACTTATAATGCTCACACTACTCCATAATGCCAGTTTGAAAGTTGGAAAAGTCGATTTAAGAAGGCCGTCTTGGATCAAGGCCAAAGCGTAGAAAAAAAAGACTTGAACAGCAGTGAGCATGTTGTCTGAAACAATCCACTGAGAAGGTTGATTTGCAACGTCAAGTCTCCGGACGAAGCCGGACGGGTTCAGATGCACGATGTTCGGAACTGGACCTAGCCAGCTTCATGCATGACACCGTTGTCGACCGGCAATTATGCTTGTAATGCCAATTTTGCATGCGAAATGGTGTTATAATGCCAGCATTATGCCACCTGGAAAAAGGGACTATAATGCCTGCCA